ATATAATTTTTGTTTCTTTAGGACACAAAATCCCAGAAACTACACTGTCAGCTTTGGCACCAGAGTATATCCGCCCTATATGCAACATTATGTTAAAAACATTATTATACATGAAAGCTACACTCGGGGTGAACATCATGATGATATTGCACTTATAGAGCTCACTGACAAAGTTTTATTTAATAATGATGTGCATCGAGTTTGTCTTCCTGAGGCCACACAGATTTTTCAACCAGGTGAAGGAGTTGTTGTTACAGGATGGGGAGCACTTTCATATGATGGTAAGTCCAGGGAAAACTTGACATAACGTATAAGGTTTTAAAAAAATTAGTGATCTAGGTGCCAAGGCACCATTTACCTCTTGATGCCCGGTACTCCCAGGGGATCTCTCAGGAAATAGAGTTACGACTTTGCAAATTGCCTTGGTTTGGAACATTCCAAGGAGTCTAATTTGTTTGTGGAAATTCCCTAATCTGGAGAACCCAATTGAGAAAGTTCCAGTCCAAAGATGTAAGAAGAAAGAGGACATAGAACGGAAGCATTTGGCAGTTGTTTCAAACTATTCTTTGAACATTTCTTTTTCAGTGATTTGGGTCAGGGAACTGAGTGGGCTTTTTCATCCTAATAGGCAAGAGTCAAATATATGACTTATGTACAGAGGACAAAACAAGTTTTCCAAGCTGCTCTGTTTCAGAGCAGCTCCTTTGCTGATGTTTACTTCCTTTAGGTGAATACCCAGTGTTACTTCAGAAAGCACCTGTGAAGATTATTGATACAAACACCTGTAATGCTAGGGAAGGATATTATGGTTTGGTGACAGACACAATGCTATGTGCTGGGTACTTGGAAGGAAATATCGATGCCTGCCAGGTAAGCCTGAACATTATTCACATTAACCATGTAATATTAAAGTAACTGTTATTATTTTTTGAAAATTATCAGTAGAGAGACAATTCTCCATTGCAATTAATTACACTTCGATAATCCTGTCAAACTCCCTCTTGGCTTTGGCACTTAAGTAATTCTCCCCTACATAAAATATGTGTTTGTATTTAATAAACCCTTATGTTGGATTTACTCTGAACCAACCACAGACTGAAGCCCTTTACAAATATTAATCCATTTAATCCTCATTACAACCTTGTGATATAGCTATTATTATTATCATTTTATAGGTGAGGAAACTGAGGCAGAGGAAGGTAATTTGCACAAGGTCACACAGCTAAAAAGTGAGAGAATTGGAATCCAAAACAAGGTAGTCTAGCATCACAGTCCATACTTTTAACCATATTTCAATAAAGGATCAACCTCAGAAATTTTTCAATCACTTCCAGCCCACTTCTCTTACCTTCTTAGTCTCATCACGGCTAGGGGCCTGGCTACTTTTCTCAGATACTTGGAGTATATCAATAATATATGTCTCCCAAAGATTTCTCATAGAACTAGACCTTGTAACTTATCAGTTCATGCCTTCAAAGTTCAGTTCAAGCCTTCAAAGTTCAGTTCAACCTCAAAGAGCCCTAGGGAATAACATTGTTACAGTTAAGGGTGAAGCAGGGGTTTACACCATACACCTTCCTATGGTCTCTATGAAGTATGAATCATATATTTCATCTGGGCTTATCATTTTGTGTAAGTAAAGTAACTGGGAGTAAATTCTCATAATGATAAATATTCTTTGTTTTATTTAGGGTGACTCTGGAGGACCACTAGTTTATCCCAATTCTCGAAATATTTGGTACCTTGTTGGAGTAGTGAGCTGGGGCTCAGAATGTGGTAAACTCAATAAGCCAGGTGTCTATATGCGAGTGACTGCCTATCGCAACTGGATTGCCTCCAAGACTGGTATCTAAGAGAAAAGCATCTTGTAGAAATTACCTTAGGTCATTTTTACCTGTTACTCCTGTCTTATTTAACATGCATTCTAAATTAGTGTGTATAATGGGTTTCAAAAGAATTGTGGTCCTGAGGGAATACTTATGAACTTTAATTTTAAGAAGACTCTACAAGACAAAACAAGAAATCTCATGTTTAGTTGAGAAAGGCCTAAGCAAAGAAAGTACTCTTATCAAAAACTGACTTTTACTATTTGTTTTCTATTTGATGACCCCACATCACAGTTATCTCACCATAACATAAAGCTCTTGGTTTTAGGCATTCAGACTTTATGGAATTGTGCTCTTGTCCATTGCAAGTTACCAGGCAGCGCTGTGAGAGACTGGAACCAACACCTTTTGAGGGGTGGGTTGGAACATGCTGTTTGGAGCATCAACTCTCAGGTCATAGTTTTTGTGGAAGGGGTGTGGCTGTGAACTAAATCTGATCAGAATTTAGGCACTGACTCACAGTCTCTTATTTGGGGTCTTGATGAACTCTTGCAGTCATTGTGAAAGAATTTCACCATCAGCAAAAATGGGCAAAAACAACACATTTTAGAGGTACAGAGACGAGGTGCACCAATTCTTCAGTGTTGATATATATATTTTCTGTAGAAATTCCTTATTTGTAACATATAAAAAGAAGTAGCTATGAGCCATGAAAATGTGTAGAGTATTTTAATTAAAACAAATTTAAAAGCAGACTCTTTGTTCAATATGACAATGTTTGTTTTCTTAAGAGTCTTTTGCAGGTGGCTTTTTCTTTTTTCTTTTTCTGTTATTGCTTCCACTTGGTCAGCAGCTTGGGAGAGGGCTCCAGGGTGGTCAAAAAGCGACCTCGAGGCAGGAAGGAGAGGCTCAGGTAGGCCAGGAGGATGCAGCAGGTGTGTCCCTCAAAGGCCACTCGGCACTTGCGAGGTTCCTAGTCACACCTGAAGATGAGGCCGGCTCAGCCAAGATTGGGGCCCGACAACTTGGGGAGTTCAGTCAGGTGGCCGCCCATCTTCTAGATGAGTTTCAGCTCTGAGTCTGGGAAGTGCTTCTCCAGGAAGCCACAGAGGTGGGGACCCATACAGGTAAAGCCCAGGGTGTGCCTAGTCTCCCAGGCCAATGAGGCTTTCATGGCATGCAGACTGCCACCCCACTGGTATTAGGATGGCTTCTGAACTTCCTGAGAAAAGGCTTGGTCGCTCTGCTGGTTATGCATCTTCAAGAGATGCAGGGTGCCCTCCCTTCTCCTCAGCTAACTTGTCGAAGAAGTGCTGCACCCTGTACAGAGCCACATGGTCCCATGGGAATGGAGGCTCAGCGAGAGAGGTAGGTGAGTGAGGCCCGCAGATGCAGACTGACCAGGCTCTAATGGCAGCCTCCACGTGGGAGGAATAATTCTGGCTGATCTGGGGGCTCATAGTTCAATGGCCACTAGGAGCTAATCATACACTAGGAGCCAACCATACACAAAAAATGGCACTCACAGGCCTCAGAAATGGATCATGGAATGACCAAGAAGATGGTTCTAGATGCTGTGGCTGGGGTCTGAGGAAGAAGGAGGATAGTTGTAGGCTGGAGGGCAGACAGGGGGGAGCAGTTGCATCCTGACTAGAGCCAGACGCACCCACCGTGCCTGTAGTTGGCCGTTTCATAGTGGAGAAATATTGATTGCTGGCCATATTCTTGGTTTCTGTTTGTAGAAGCGAGCATGGGTCCTGTTTTATGAACCATACAGTCTTCATAAGTTAAGTGACTTCAGTTTGCAATATTCATTTTTCAAGAGTAGAAATTTTTATTAGCATTTACTGAAAATTTCACTCAGGGTCTTCACAAGAGTCTTTAGATAGTATTTAAAATTTATTTAAGCTTCAATTACTTAGATTGGATATATAAGAGTCAATGTTTTATGTACTGAATTTTTCTCCTCCCAGAAAATATGGTGCTCTATCTACTGATAACTATCTTCTATGTATCAAAGGTCTGGAATAAGTATATATTATATACAATCATATAATTTAGTTGTCCTAGAGTTTCATAAATTTGCTTTTAAATGGCATTTTTATGTATTTTTAATCATATATCATCCCAGTTTCTTAAGATATTCAAATACCAAAGGCTCTTAAAGAAGTCTTGGCATATTAAATTCAGTTATTAACTATCTTGATATTTAACACATTTGGTTATAATTAACATCAAATATTGTATTATTCATTATCATCATCATAAGAAATTGAACAATAAAGCTTAACATTTATTGAGTTCTCACTATGTGCCAGGCACAATTCTAATAACTTTACATGTACGATCCCAGTTAATCTTTATGTCGTATGAAGTATACCACTATTACCTTAATGGTACAGATGAAGAAACTCAGACACAAAGAGTTTAACCTATCCAAGGACACAGAATAACATCTATCCTATATCATTCTTCCTCTTAGTCCATCACAGAAGTCCAAGATAAGGAAGTGACTTTAACCAGAAGTATGAACAGTTCACATTTTTGTAGGGGTTTTTATTTGTTGAAGTTATTCTGTTTGTTTGCTTATTCTGAAAAGAGTGAAGCTCCTTATAGCTTTGGGTAATACCTAACATTAGTAAGAAGTTCATGCTGGGAAATGATACCAGCAGCACTTTCACAAAACCATTTAAATGTATAGAGTATTTTATATCTCTCTCTTGATCCTATATAAAAATGCCCTCTGTTGTGAGGGGTGAAAAGTATAACTATTGCATTGTTTTGTACAACTGAAACTAATTTTAAAAAAATGCCCTCTGAATCATGGCCTGGTGAATTTGATTCCCACTGATCCTCACTTCACTCACAGCTTTCCATGAAACGTTTCAAGCAGCACTAAACATCATTTCACCGTGCTCTATAGGCACTTCAGACCCAGAGGAATTGTTAAACATATAGTGAGAAGGATATAGAAGACGCAGATTAAAAAATGGTAAAAGTTAGAAATGTGCCTGAGAATCGATCTCAGATTTCCCAAGCCTTACTAAACTTCAGATGAAAGATATATGAACACGTCACATTCCTCATGGCAACCTACTACATGAGAACATAATATAAACTTAATATAAATATCTAAATAAGTTATACATAAACCAAAAATAACTAGACCATCAACTCTATTTGGTCTGTGAAACTTGCAATGGTCTCTCACAATAAAAGTCGTAATTTCTCTTTTCCTCGATCATCCTGTATTATTCTATTGCTTCTATTGTTAAGAAGATTTACAGAATCTATGCAAGGATCTATTAACCATATCAATAGGAAGTAGTAGACTTGAGTTTCATTCACAGAACTCATGAAGTGTGTAATTGTCTTGCAAAATATCTTTGTCAATATCTTCATCTATTCGTAGAGGCCTGTTACCATTTTTGTTCTTCATGAAATTTTTGTCACCAAGAAAGGCAGGATTACATTTTTTTTTTCTTCTAGATTGAGCTAGTGTAGTGTATTCTTGCTTATTAAAATACTCATATATCTTTGGGACTTTGAAATGGTTAATATTAATGATGTGTGAAAAAGCTTAATACATACCTATATGATCTTAATTACTTAAAAATGGAAGCTTAATTGTGTAAATACACAGAGGGAACCTAGCAGGAACTGTAAACTGTGTGTGATTATGGATGACTTTGTTCTTTGCTTCTTGTATTTTTCAGTTTCCTGCACATGTTAACTTTAAAAAAATAAATGTTATTTTAAAAACCTCTTTATTTTATTATTGTTCATTTCAAAAGTCTCTTTAGAAGAAACCAATTTTATAGCCCCTTAGAAGTTATTTCTGAAATTAACATAAAGTATTATAATCAAACTTCCTTACTTTGGTAAAGAATCCAGTTACATGTTAATTAAGCATTAATTAGGAAGGAGGGATAAATCAAGGGTCTTGAAAGGATAGAATAGAAACTTAGTTACCCAGATGATCTTATTTTGATTGGGAACTGAGGGCCATGAGATGAAGCAAATGAACACTCTGAAGTTTCAAAGGAATCTAGCTCTCTTTTGCTTTCATTTATCATGGACAGAAAGGTCAGATAAAAAGATAAATTAATGTTTAAAATACTCCAGGTTTTTTTTCCAGGTTAACAGGAGCAAAAAATGTCATGTCAAGGAATTACTTAACACGTGTGAATAAAAAGGAGTAATTCACCTTTAAAGAGGTTAAATCACCCAATTCTGGTCATGGCGACATGTGCATTTTTATATTGGTGTAACATCTCTGACAACTGCTCCTAGGAGCTGCCACAAAAGCAGAAGAAGAACAAAGGCAATAAATCGACCTACTTCCAGGAGGGTTAAGGATTCAAGCAGAGACTGGATACTTACTCATCCAGAGGGGATGAAAGGATTCAAGAACTTGGTTTTCAAAGTGGAGTAAGGTTAGAACTGCGAAAGAGTGATACTAGTGACCACTAGGAATTTTATCAATCCTATAATTATATGTTTCTGAACCTTCAGATGCAGCTTCCACTAACAGTTGAACTGTTCAACATAAACCTTTGCCAAAATTTCACCTTGGACTTAGAATCTTCTTGGCTACCACCTGCCTATAAGGGCTGGAGTTTATTGATGTGGGGTAATAAAATTTATTTTTTATATAAAAGAAATCAATTTATTACAAATAAATGCTTGTATACCTTCCTTTTTAATTAAAAATAAAAAGAGCTTTATGGAGGCTAATTGGTAAACTATTTCAAATTCTAAATTATTTATATTGTATTTTATTGTGTATAAGTGTGTTGATGACAAACTTTGCAATAAGAAATAGCCAGGCAGAGGCAGCTCTTTTATATATAAAATTTTATTGACTGTTTTTTAAAATCAACTACTGCCAATTGCATCATGTCCACTCATAAACTAATCAAAACAGATGGATAGTTCTGTGGGTATTTTTAAATGATAGAGTATACCATAGACAAAAAGTTCCAACTTAAATTGTACTCTCCCTGGTTTTGTACACTGGTAATTTTAGATAAAGAAGAACAACTAATTTGTTTCCTTTATTCATAATGTTAAAATTTTAAATTCATTTTCTGATAGTCTTGATATTATCGTGTTATGAGTAGTGCAAAATTTGGCACAGAGACTTTTGATTAGAAACCTATTTATCTTAAATACTTCATAAATTAATTAAATTGCATAGCAACATGCATGCAGTCAATGCATAATACAACGGAGGTTTCAAATATAGGTGTTTTGAAGATTTATGGCAATATATATTAGGTATTACACATATTAAAGTTCTATATCTTAAAATACTGAGATTGAGAAAAGGATTATTCTTGGTATTTATTGAATTTGTGTCAAAGAAATCAAACCTCAAAGATCTCAGTGTCTGCCAAGTCTGGAAACTTGATGGTTAGTTAATGATCATAATAGACTTTTCTAAGTCCTGGGAAGGACTTAGATTATCTGGATTATCACTGCCTTCATTTTCTGTTTTGTAGCTGTCTTCACCATTTGCTCTTTGTTCCTCCTTTGGTCTTATATATGCATTAGGCCTTTGACAATGTCCTCAGTTGGTGGTGGCAGGTTTGGTAACTGATTTTTCTGCAAAACCAGTATTTACATACAGTTACTTTTCTACTGGACCTTTTTGAAGTCTTGTTTTTTCAGTTTTTAGCTGCTCATTTTTTTTCTTTAATCACTCATTCTCAGCCACAAGACTTTCCACATGCCTCTCTAGATCTGCTAATAT